CAATCGGAGGGTATGTTAATGAAAGTACCTCTCTCATCAGCCTTTCGAGCCAACTTGGTAGCAACCCACTCAGTGACAGCTTTACAAGTAGATTCTGGTACTAAAGCAAAGTCCTTATCGCTTGTCATTATCTTTGTGGCAAGCTCAATACATTCTTCTTCTGTAAGGCCTTTCATTCTTTCTTCCTTAATGACAGTAACAATTCGGGCAAGTGTTAGGTTGTCGATTTTGGCACGATGGAGGTAGACCACGGACTCATCACTCAATCCAGCACCTCCTTCGGCTTTTGGTTTGCTAAGAAAATCATCTAACTCTTGAGTGTTCCACAACCGATATGGTTTAGGTGTCAACTTGGTGGCAACCCATTCAACAACAGTTGTGCAAGTAGTTTTCGGCACTGAAGCAAAGTCCTTACTGTTTGTCATTGTCTTGATGGTATGTTCGATACAACTGATTTCACTCTTTCCTTCTAATCTATTGTTGAAATATAGCTCAGAGCCAGTCCATCAAAAGCAGAATCATAGAGTGGTTTGATCTTCTCCTCGGACAAACCGATACCCCCTTCCTGTTTGCTCAACATCAACACAGCAGATACTTGTGCAACCGACCAGGTGTCAAAGTCTTTCAATGCTAGGGTGATGATGGATTTATTGTCTGGTGTCTCTGTTGGTGGCTTTCCCCCAAGAACCGAAGAACCGTCCCGTGTGAAGGATTGATTTTGCCAAGGACTTGTTGTATGAAAACATTTCCATTGATGCCATGAAACATTCAAACTATTATCTGTAAGAATTATTGATGATGATTTGATGATAGAGGGCACCACTTTGCGAGCATTAATCACTGCAGAAGAATGTGATTTTAATACAGTGTGGGTAAGCTTGCGCATTTTTTGGTTTTAAGACTAAGGAATGGGTTTTTGCTGCACTCACAAAACTCAAAGAATTGCTTAAGTTTCTTAATCTCATTCTATTACTTTGGAAAAGTTTCCATACTGATCCAAGAAGAATAGATGGAACTTATTCAATGAAGAGAAAGGAGATTACGATGGAAATCATAAGAACTTTACAGTTTGTTTGTTTATTATTCTTGTTTTGTTGAAACAGGTTTTGCTGAAATATTATCTTCACTGTGAAACAAGTAATGCCATGGAATGACCAAAGGCAACAACAACACCCAAATAGCAAAGAGTGTGGTCATGGGTTGTGGCACCTCTCTCTTCATCCACATGGCAGGCAAGGCAACCAACAACAAGTACAAACTCTTATAAATCAATTGATGAACGAAAACGATGGAACATTGTAATGGAAAGAACAATCCCAACATTGAAATGATGACAATGGCCATCCAATGACATCCAACAATCATTACTGCTATGGTACTTCCATCATCAGTAAGTGAATTCCCATAGAAGAGTTCAGATTGTGCCTGTTGAGGAAAGAATAGAGCGAAACAAGCCACATATCCTGCCACCATAATATTGGCAAGATACATGAACTTTCTCAAGAGAGGTGCAACTTCACACTCTAGATTAATCATATTATAAGGTTTCTTTGTTTTTTTTTAAAATCACTTTGGGAAGTTTTCTATTCTTGTGTTCATTAACGATGAGATTGAAAAAGTGATCGTATTTGAAACACTCGTTTCCAAGCATCGTATTTGAAACAATTGGAGGAGTTGGGAATTTTACCAATTATGAAGTTCTAGTTACTTCCTTAATGGAGAAATAAAACGCGAAAGATGAAAGAAAATTGTGATCGGCTTTATTTTCTAATCACATACTTTTCTAATGTAAACTAAAGTCGGAATCCTAAACGTTTACAAGAGCAAATATAAATTGTACTCAGTTCCTCCATCAAGGTTCACTTCTTTCTAATAATTTCTAAAATACTTTAATCAAAATGCAACCAAAATCCACCTTATTTAGACATGGTTCACCACTAGGCTGTGATGGCAATATGTTATCAGTCAACTCTGTGTCGCAACTTCAAACATTGTGCATCTTTGTGGCTTTTGCAATTTCATGATTGGAAAGTAGCCGCCAAAACATTCAGGTTCATTGTTGCATGTCGTGGTGCAAAACTAAACAAAAAGAAAACAACTCACAACACTCTCATTGTTTATCTGAGAGATTAGTTTAGTTTCGTAACGACTTGAACCTTGGCGTGTGAGCTCGCATTTGAAATAGCAACAGCGAAAAACGTCATCAAATGTCCTTTCACCACCAACCACATGATGTCATTACATCTCTTTCCTACAACATATTCGAAACTCTTTCCAACGATTCCATCATCATTAACAACAATACCTATAACAAATACTATGATAGTGCTGTGTGTCATCCACTCCTA